CGGCTGCGAGGAGATGTGCTCGATGCTGACGCCCACCGCCGCCGCCTTCCACCCGGCCGAGGATCGCGCCGCCCTCAGCGAGAGCAAGGAGCGCAAGTGCGTGCGCTGCGGGCGCGGCTTCTTCGTGACGGACGACGGCGAGTACCTGACGCAGGAGCGCTGCGTGTACCACTGGGGCAAGCTGCAGGCGGCCGGGCGCGGGCGCGCCGAGTACAGCTGCTGCAAGGGGCGCCCCACGTCGCGCGGCTGCTCGGTGGCGCGCCTGCACGTGTGGGTGGGCGTGCGCGAGGGCGTGAACGGGCCCCTGGACGGCTTCGTGCGCACGCGGCCGCGCAAGAGCCTGCCGCCCGACGGCAACTTCGGCGTGTACGCGCTCGACTGCGAGATGTGCTTCACCACGCACGGCCTGGAGCTGGCCAAGGTGACGGTGGTGGCGGCCGACGGCCGACTCGTGTACGACAGTTTCGTCAAGCCCGACAACTACATCGTGGACTATAACACGCGCTTCTCGGGTATCACCGCGCGCGACCTGGCCCGCAAGGGGGCGTCGAAGACGCTCAAGGAGGTGCAGAACGATCTCATGGGGTTCATCAACTCGGACACCGTCCTGGTGGGTCACGGGCTCGAGAACGACCTGCGGGCGCTCAGGATAATCCACGGCACGGTCGTGGACACGAGCGTGGTGTTCCCGCACTACTACGGACTGCCGTACAGGCGCTCGCTCAAGTCGCTGGTGTGCTGCCTCTTGAAGCGGGACATCCAGAAGAACGCCAACGGGCATGACAGCTTCGAAGACGCGCGAGCGTGCATCGAGTTGATGTTGTGGCGAGTGAGGAAAGACTTCCGGGGCGTGCTTGGGAAGTGAGTGTGTGAGGACGTGCGTGAACTAGCCTAGTCATGTTGTTCCTGAACTGCCAGTCTACTTAATTTATTTTGTAAATTTTGCGTCGAGATCGTTCACGAGAGTGGGCTTTTATCCAGAATGCTCAGAGTATTTTGTCAATCGAAATCGTTAATCGGCAACGCTTAAGGTTGGCAGGAAACTCTGGATTCGGAGTACTTCAAATGGCACACGCATTTCATTTTCAAGTTGCAAGTCTGTGAGAAGTGCCATTATGTGTGGGTGGTTACGACTGAAACGAATTTAGAAGACTGTTTTCATTTGTGTTGTGTACTGATGTTGTGACAATTTTGTTGGTTCCTGCAAGTTCTGTTTATGCTGCTGGTCATATTTGGAGTGATACAGAGAAACTGACTGATTTAAAACAGTTTTTTCATTCCTATCTTCGAGACCTGAGGTGTACTGAAACTGAATTTTTTGTTCTAATTTTGTGATAAGTTTCTTTGCTGGAAGATGTGTGATACTGATAGCAATGATGTGGAGTAAAGGCCATGAAACTGCTGGGGATGTTATTTCCTTGGTAGCAACGGCTGTTTGTTTCCTTCTTTCTCTATCAGGGGCACTTTTGTGTTGCAAGTGCGTAAGTTTGGGCACTGTGATGTTCCCAGATGGAGCTAAGGAGCAACAAGTAGTGTGTTGTTTATGTGAGCAGCTTTAGTATGATGTAATGTCTAGTACCTGATGTAAAATGAGATTAAGATATAAGAAGTGATGCTGGCAATTTTTTTCAGCATCAGTTGTATTGTGGACTGACCAGAGATGAGCATGGTTTGCCATCTTACCAATATATTGCAAGGATGAATCTAGTGATTGTTTACATCGATATTGTACAGAATGCTCTAAAAGGAAAAAAACAAGGCTTTTTGGTCATTAAATTTTGAAATAGCAGCAACTTGCTAACAACACATTACTTGTTTGAACACTAAGTATTAAATTAGGTGAAATGTTGACTTTCCTGTAAAGTTCAGTCCTAGAGAGGAACTAGGCAGTCTTCTGTGATATGTTGTGGGGGTTTTAATAGCCTCCAAAAATATCCCCTTTGTCTTGAACTGGAATGCCTGGGTTCTTTTCTATGAAACTTTTTATGTCAATGTTGTTGAATTTGTAGAAATGGCTTTTTGCACAGTTTTCTACTATCTTGTTGCACAATAGCTCTTCTTCAGGACAACCACACTGGTGGCCATTTGAAAAACCAAACAGTGCTTTATGAAAACAGCCTTAACATCAAGACTACATATCGTTTCAACAGCCCATTTGCATCTGCTGAATTTGGATATTCAGACTCGTAAGACTAGTACTAAATCATTTCATGGATTTATATTGAGCAATAACATTGACATGATTCTAGCGTGCAGTGGCCTCTTCACTAAAAGCAATAATTGGGCTTCTTTGAGGTATTGTATGCTTTGTGCCTGGTGCTGAAAGTCACCTGCTTACTTGCCCAGTTGTAAAATGTGCCTGCCATGGCCTTGGAGCCTGTAGTTGAGGGCGACTGCCTGTTTGCCCAGTGAGATAACACTGCCTGTTCAGATGCTGCTGACTAGAGCCTGCTGTGCCACAAGTGAAGCATCAGACTCTGCTCTATTCCCTACTTGCTGAATATCTCACTGTGATACCTCAGGGCTATTCTCCCTGCAAACTAAAGTGATGTATACCTTTGTGGAAATGATTTTGTATCTCATAATTGATCAAAATTTATTGTAAGAAAGATGTGGGAGAACTGAGCTACTGTCAACATGCCGGTTTTTAACCTATGGGTATTGGAATCTCTGAGAGATTAAGTTGGTTATGTTCTATCTTGTTCATGGTTTGCTGTTTTGTTTTCAATGTCATTCAGAGAAATTTGAAACTTTTGTAGTTTTATAGCAATAAACAAGTACCCAGGAACTGTGTAAAAAATGTTTTTGTTTTGTTTTTTAATTTTAATTCATTTTCAGATTCTCTTAAAGACTAATGCAGTACAAAACAAATGGTTTGTGAATGTTACTTTTAAAGCAATGTTATGTTCGAATCAGTCTACGTAAATTACAAGAATCATAATTTTCTACTAAAAGCTTTTATTTAAATTTAATTTCAGAAAATTTAAAAACTAAACAGTCAAGTAATGTGTATCTACATTCAAAGATAAGCATTCAAATGTGAAAGGGAGTTAACTAAATTAAGGTAATTACATGTAAATGGACTAGTTTCTGAAATTGGTTGTTGAAGAATCATGGACTAAAGATTTAGAATATCAATTTTATAAAGAAACTAGGAAAAGGATATTCTATGAGAGTGATATTTGGTCAATAACATGCAAAATTTGTTTTTATATGCAGATGAGCCCAAGCAAGATTTTCTCTGGGGGAGGGGGCTGGGCTAGAGAAAGGATTGTGGCATAGAATTGTCATTGCGATAATTAATATATTTTGTTTTTAAGAATTCATATAGTAAGAATTAAAATTATAATTTCTGCAGCTTTTCTAAAATTAAGGAATAGTTAATAAATGAAATATTTCTTTTTCTGACAAAATTGAGTTTTCTGAAATGATATATTTTTCATCTTTTAAGTTTCTGTGGATTTCTGAAAATATAAGATTTTATTTTTATATTTCTACTTTTCTGAAATGAGCATCCTGTGCATAAGCAGAAGCATAATAAAGTAATTCTGTTCTGTTATTGATATCTATCGCCCTTCACAAGAGAATAAAATGACTGCTCTACACTGCAGATGAGCGCTGAAGTAAGATAATGTAGCATTGGTATTTTAGGATTTAAAAAAGTAAGAATTAAAACATGATTTAAATGAGAGAAGTCTTAGGGCCTCAACATTCCCCAACCTTATTGGCTTTGGGCTGTAGGCGTCATAAAGAATTTGAAGTAAAATTTCATGAAGTAGCTGTGAATGGTGTGAGTGATCGAAATGTGTGCCAGAATATTTTTTCCCTTTTATTTGAGAATTGCCTTTTAGGTGATAACGTGAGTCATTGAGGTCATAGTTTAGCGGACTAAGACGTTGCAGGTTTTGGTAAGCATCTTTGGCGTTGAAGCAGTTGTGGTTCTTTTCGTATATTTGTGTCACAGCCTAAGCTTATTGAACCTGCTGCGCATATCATTTTATAAGTGCAGCGTTAGCACCCATCGCAACGTCCCGATTCTTTCGCTGTCGAAACCTTTGCATGCCGTTGTCATAAGTATCTGGAAAGGAATTCAATTTCTGTGGCGGCTCTAACGGAGTTTCGCATTTGTGTTCTACATAAGAATAACATTTTCTTTTTAAAAAAATCAAATTGTACTTCAGATTCAGGCGTGTATTTACGTGGGGGGATGATGGACCCCCCCCCCCAAGAAAAAACCTTTCAGTAACTATTAATTTTAACTTCTCACGAAACTTTTAAGTAACAAGCGGTGCTAAACCAGCTCGTATTTTCATGCAAAATTATACGCGAAAAGTATCCGAATTTTCGAAAAATTGTACATGACCTTATTTTAAAATCTATCTTTAAAGAAGAGATTTCATGAAGGGAAAAAATCTCTATCTTCAATAGTTTACTTGTAGGAAGACTCCGAAAAAATTTTCAACTTATGTAATTTGCAAAAATATATTTTTCAGTGAACATGAGTCCTGCACCATGGTCTTAAATATTCTTCACACTATCCTACAAAAAGAAAAAACAACAATGTAGCTTTTTTTTTAATTTGAAAAGTGTCTAAGGGCATTCATGAAAAAAGTTGAAATATCGGTTTCAAGTTCCAGGGGCCATTTCATCTGCCAGATCGATTGTAGAATATCAATTTTGGAGAAAATCGGCTAATCACTTTATGAAAACTTAAAAAATCTTCTAACACGTGCTGTAGCCAGAATCTACGTTTTGCGAGTCCTTGATACCGAAATATCGATTGGCGGCAAAACGTCCGTCTGTTTTTGAACAACACTAGCGGCTAAAGCGTTCTGCCGATTTTCTCCAAAATTGATATTCCCCTTGAATTCGAAGCTCCCTGGACATTTTCCAAATTAAAAAAAAAACCGTTGGCTCCATCATTTTTAATTAAATTTTGTTCTTACATTGTGTGAAGGACGTTTCAGAGAATGGTACAAGTCTCATTTCTGGTGATAAACCTGATTTTTCTAAAATTGCAAATATTCAAATATTTATTTTTTCGCCGTCTTTCTGCAACTAAAATATTAAAGATAGAGATTTTTCTCTTAATAAAATCTGTTCCTTAAAGATATATTTTGTAATAAGGTCATGTACATTTTCCAAAATTTGAGTGTTTCGGGTAATTTTGTCTGAAATATAGGTAATTTTTTATTTTGTTTAAACAATTTTCTTCTCAAAAATGGCTCAATCGTTTTTTATGTAATTTTGTAATTGAATACTCTGAAGAATTTTTAAAAGAATAGTGCACGTCTCATGTTGTTTAAAAACTGTGATTTTTCGAAAAATAAAAAAAAAAACAAATTTTTTCGACGTCTTCCTACGACTACAATTATATTACAGTTATAAGCTCGAAAAGTTATTGTTTTTGTTTACGACGTCACTTATTTCTCTTATAACTAGTGGTGCTACAACAGCACATACTTTCTCGCGTTATTAGAAATAGCAACGTAGTATTGTGCATTTTGTGTGCTACTATCACCTCAGCTACTATTAATTGATAACCTCCAATACAAACAAACCGCCTGTGATGCAAATCTGCATTCATTTCGATACTCAGGAGCAGCAATCCTTTCTTACGTTGACAAATTAAACAAATAAGAATACATTTGACTGATACAATATTCGCAGCAAATTATACAGGAAAGAACAACGGATTCTTGCCAGCGCAGCGTTTTCAAAACTGTGCATTCACTTGGTTAATAATAGCAATACAGTACTTAAAATGTATGCAATTGACATAAAAAAAATTGCAAAAATTCCTGCTGCTCACTTCTGAGTTGCCTTTCGCAATAAAGTAAAAGTTCCTATAGCGTTTCATAGTTTTTCTTTTATTCAATACACAGTAAATTCTTTTAGTGATCAGATTATATTAAATGGTATAAAACATACCTCACGTGGCATTCTGAGGAGTAATTTATAAATACCTGCTGCGAAATTCATCTCAAAGAGAAGTAGTGGCTGTCGATCTAGCAGTTACACCACAACCAGCTGGACTTAATACAACAACTGTATCTGATCATCGCTAACATCTCGACATTTCACAACAATTAACTTCTAAATTATCGATGCCGCATTGTTGCGATATTTCTATTAAGCTTTGCAGATTGCTTGAAGAAATACATCATTACATTGGGAATACAAATTGAGTAAAAAGTAAAAAAAACGAGAAAGTAAAAACAAAATTATTATTGTCATTTTCAATAGTAAATTATGAGTATAATCAAAATTAAATGAATTATCTTTCATATCACTCATTCAATTTTGATTGTGGCCCGTGGTGTAAAACGTGTATATTTCATTAATTTGAAGCATAAATTACGCAAAAAATACTCTCTTTTTCATAAAATTGCACATGGCCTTTTTTAAAGGGCTAATTTTGTACAACAAACTTTGTCGGAGACAAACATCTCTATCTCCAATTTGGAAGTTTTAAAAACTATGAGTTCCGATTTTCGAAAAATCGCGGATGTCAACGACAATGAGTCCTGCACTATTCTCTTAAAAGTCCTTTGCATTATTCAACAACAAAATTTAATAATACAACTTTGAGCCATTTTTTTTAAATTTTGAAAATATTCCAGGGGCTTCATGTAAAGTACCCCCATAAAATTAAAATATCGGTTTCAAATCCCAGGAGCCGCGACAACAGCCAAAACGATTGGGGAATATCAATTTTGGATATGAAGAACATGCACAAAGCACAAAACATGGCTACACCACGTGTTAGAGGATTTTTTTTTATATTTAGCAGCTGGATTTATCCACTTTTTCATTACCAGGGCTCGGCAATATGAGTTTTTGTGTCGAAAATGCGCCGTTTTCCGGTGCACGATTACAATACTTTTTCTTCTTACGTCAGTAAGTGCGAGAAGGTAAAAATGGCGAATTTTCGATAGAAGACTCCTATTACAGTGCCCTGGTAACAAAAGGTGGATAAATCCAGTTGCAAAATTTAGAAGAAAATCCTTTAATACGCCGTGTAGTAGGAATACACGTTTTGTCGGTCCTTGATACCGAAAAATCAATTGATGGCAAAACGTCTGTCCGTTGATCTGAACAACACTAGCTGCTAAGCCGATTTTCTCCAAAATTAATTTTCCCCGTTCGATCTGGCTGATGTTGCGGCCACCGTGAATTTGAAACCACTATTTTAGTTCTAAGGGTACTTCATGTGAAGCACCTGGGACATTATCAATATTTTTTTAAGGCTCCAAGGTTTTTGATTAATTTTTTTGTTGGGTAATGTGAAGAACGTTTAAGAGAATGATGTTGGTCTCACGTTGGTTAAAAACCCTGATATCTCGGAAAGCGAAAAAATTAAAAATTTTCCGGCATTTTCCTTCTATCACAATTATGAAGATAAACATTATTCTTAATGAAATGAGTTCATGAAAATCGTATCTTCAAATGAGGTAATGTTAATTTTTTTGAAAATATGAATATTTGTTGTGTAATTTGGCGACAAACATGGTCATCCGCTCCGAATTTACTGCGCTTCGTGAACGTAATTGGAGGCAATTGGATGCTTTAAACGTATTTAAAAATTATGTTAAAATTAGCATATTATTTGAATATTTCTGTGTTCGTTTCGTACATCCAAGCGCTTGTGATACATTTACAAGTTAATACTTGAGAAATTATTTTTTCTTTTATACTATTCGAAATATGTGAAATAAAAATATTTAACCTTCAGGGAATATCACATTGGAATGCAACAATGGCTCGGCCAAAAGCACTCCTGAGCTAATTTCTGTGAAATACATATTATTGTTTAGTGTTAGGGCATGATTTACATGTATGAAAAAGCAGTTATAAATGTGTTGATTGCTTGAAAATATTTAGTGTTTGTTTAGTTTAAATGTTCTACGATTTCTAATGAGTTTTACAAAAAAAAAAAATAAATAAATAAAAGAAAAAAGGCTGAGATGTGTTTATTTGGAGAGTAATTGTGGTATTGGCTGGTAGCCTTCCGCGGCCGTAGTCAATGCATTCTTGGCTATCCGGGATGAGCCGCGTCTTGGTCAGTTGTGCTGACGTTTCGGCCACCGTGCCGTGGCCTTCTTCAGAGCTCTACTGCAGCAGTATAGCTCTGAAGAAGGCCACGGCAAGATGGCCGAAACGTCAGCGCAATTGACCGAGACACGGCTCATCCCGGATAGCCAAGAATGCAGAAATTGTGGTAAATGACTGTGAGTGAAGGCGAGCTGTTTCCGCACCAAAGGTAGGTCTAATTGGCGTGGGCCGTGGCGCTCGTTGCGCGTCTGTCGCAGACCGGTCGTTGCTGGTATGGAACACGCGCGACTGGACGCAGAAGGAGCACAAGAACGTGCGCGTGAACGTGGAGCTGGACCACGCGACGCTGGTGCGCTGGAGCCCCGACTCGAAGGCGATGGTGGTGCGGCGCGCGGCCGACAACGCGCTCGAGGTGTTCCGCGTGGCGCGGCGCGCGGACGGCCTGGTGGGCGCCATCACGCGCGCCGCCACCTTCCCCAAGGTGAGCGCCCATCAGCCCTCGGCTGGCCCCCTCCTCTTCCCGTCATCCGATGCCGTGGCGTCTGCCGCAGACACGCCTACTCATTGTAAGAATTTCGAGCTTTTACGATATCAATTTTACGATATCGATTTTACGATATCGATTTTACGATACGCGGCGGCGATGGTGTGACGGTACCGGCCTGTTATACCCAAGCTCGCGGTTTCAAACCCGATCGAAGCAGTGGATTTTTAGGGCGACAAAATCCTTCGTTCGGAGGGGAAGTAAAGCCGGCTGTCCCATGTTAGTAGATTTACTTGCATGTAAAAGATCCTCAAGCCTAAATGACGCCTCTGACCTAAATTCAAAATCGCCTGTTTCTCGCCCAAGAAATACCTCCTTTCTCTGCTAGTTGGTGAAAGGAGCGTAGCGAAATTTGCGTGGTCAGACGGAAGAGTGGGCCTGATGGCCCGAGTCTCGGCCACGTAAAATAAGGCAAATTCAATTCAATTCCATCAATTTCGGAATATTTAAGAAACAGCGTTTGGAATGGCCGGCCTGGGCAGTCGAGATCTGTAAGGCTCCAGAGCCGTAGCCGCCTATGTTCTAAACCCGCCGCGAGCATGGATATTTGTGTGTGTGGGTGTTATCCTTACGTGTTCTCCTTACTATTCCCCCTACAGTTAAAAAAATCACAATGGGCGCTATATGGCCAAGTTGTTGAAAAGCAGCGTTAAAAGAACAAACACTGTTTATTCCGAGAGCCACGCGTGATTGTGCACGCAAGTCCCATTGAAATGTGTTAAATAGTTGATTTGTCATATTCACAATTCGTGTCACGTGACAATGGGAAATCCTGCTTCAATGTATAACCGCAGTCTTAATCTAATCCCTTCGAAAAATGTTCAACAAAATTATGTGATTCAAAAACTAACAGACGTTTCCCTTGAAGCAAGAAGCTTTGTACCTTCATTTCTCGATTGTTTCTCAACCGATTATTATCATTGTAATTATTCGTCTGCAAGCCACAACTAGAAGGGTGATGATCGCCACAATATCGCGAGAGTCCAGTACTTACAGTAATTTTGTCTAGTGGATGTGTGTAATGATTAAGATTTTTATTTCTACATGCCATCATTTCTATAATGTCAAGCGTTGAAAATTAAATGGAAATAGAAGTAGCGCCCCATTGTTACCAAAAAACCAATTTCATATTATCAAGAAATAGTTTTTAATTTTTTGCAAAATAATATATTTTTGTCGAAACATATATTATATATTTTTCTAAATTTCATACGTATTGATCAATATATTCAGCACTTCGAAATGAAATACTTTGGAAATTATTAGTGTGCGGAAAGCAGCAAGTGGGTCATATCACGTATCTTTTATTGCATTGGCATTGCCCGTATTGTAAACGGAGTAGACCCCTTGTTGACGAACTGTCGAATTGTCTATTTTACGGTGCATTTCTGAAACCACAGTTGATGGTGAAAATGACATGAAGATAATTTACGTACGTAACACCCTGCTCCGAAATTTCCTTGGATTGCATTGACGAAGTATACAGAGTGAAGAGGCAGCACACGTGTTACTTCGGGATATCCCCAAGTTTGTGACGCTGTGTTTTTCACGTCTCTGGATCTTCGTCAAAGTTTTCCCGTTATAAGGAGCCCACTGTAGTTCGTGCTGGTTCGTGTGGTCGGCGATACTATTCGTGTAAGTAAAGTGCGAAAAGCTAAATCCGGTGGCAATGCTCTATTGTTGTACGCCATCGAGTTTTTAAGATTTTTTTGCAACCGGTGGTCAAGTAGTTTATTATTTTCTCGTATACGTACGTAAACGAGTACTACTGCGAAAGTGATATAATGCTGCGGAAAGGTGCCCCGTAGGGATTGCACCTAGGATGCGTAGGATTCTTTTTCTAAACTGAACACTCTCCTGGCGAGCTGGCGTCACTCGATATTCTGCGATTTTGAATAACATTTTTAAATTTTGGGAGTACTTTACATGAAGCCCCTGCGGCCTTTTTTATTTTTTTTTTCTTTCAAAAATGGATCTACATGTTTTCTTTAAAATTCTTGTTAGAATAGGATCAGATAAATTATAGACGTGATAAAGGCCCGATTTTCACTGTTAACTGTGAATTTTCAAAACTTACAAAATAAATTTCTTCTCAAATGAAATTTGTTCTCAAGATTTAGTTCCTTCATTAAGGTCATGTACATTGTTTATAAAATTTTAGTAGTTTTCGCGCAATATTGAGCGATATATGTTCGATATTTAAAAAAAATCAGAAACTAGTATTTCTCAAAAACAGCTCCAAATTTATTCCCTAAACTTTTGGTAGCGATTGTCTTCAGTCTACCGTATAAGATGGCATAAACGCCATTTTGTTGTGTCCTTTTGTGTTTTACAAAAATAAGAAATAGTATTTTCGATGGACATACATGTTTTGGGGTCCTCTGATACTGAAAAATTTTTCCCCCCAAAACG